TTTTTTTTTTTTTTTTTTTTTTTTTTGCTTCTGGTCAAAATGCTAAAAAGTATTAATCATTCTTTGATCTCCGTAATTCCTAAATGTCAAAACCCTGAGTTGATTTCTCAGTATAGACCCATTAGTCTTTGTAGCGTGACATATAAGGCCATAGCTAAACCTTCCTCTTTGCATTAGCGAATGCCAAATTGTCTTTATAGCTGATAGGCAAATCTTGGATAATGTTATAATAGCTATTGAAGCTATCCATTTTTTGAATAGGCATAGAAGTGAGAATAGATAAACTAGATATGTCCAAGGCTTTTGATAGGATAGAATGAGACAGTGTCAAGCAAATCTTGATTAAGTTGAAGTTTCATTCTTCTTCTGTTACATAGAGGTGTACATAACATTCACATTGAGTGGGACCGACCAAACATAATAAATCAAGTGGACCCACTCCATGTGAGTGTTATGTACACCTCTATGTACATTTATCAAGTACTTGTAACATTTTTCGTTTCTTTTTTTTTTTTTTTTTTTTTTTTTTTTTTTTTGCTTCTGGTCAAAATGCTAAAAAATATTAATCATTCTCTGATCTCCGTAATTCCTAAATGTCAAAACACTGAGTTGATTCTCAGTATAGACCCATTAGTCTTTATAGCGTGACATATAAGGCCATAGCTAAACCTTCCTCTTTGCATTAGCGAATGCCAAATTGTCTTTATAGCTGATAGACAAATCTTGGATAATGTTATAATAGCTATTGAAGCTATCCATTTTTTGAATAGGCATAGAAGTGGGAACAAGTGTTATAAGATAAACTAGATATGTCCAAGGCTTTTGAGAGGATAGAATGAGACAGTGTCAAGCAAATCTTGATTAAGTTGAGGTTTCATTCTTCTTTGTTAACTGTATCATGGCTTGCATCACTTCCACTTCCTTTTCTTTCAGTTTAAATGGTGAAGTTAGAGGTTTTTTTTAACTCCTTCTCAGGAGCGGTCCAGAAAATTTAATTGGGGGGGATTAAATAATTTTCATTGACATGCTTCATTAAAAAGACAAATTTGCATTTCTAGAATTGAAAAAAAAAAGTAGTTCAAGAAAATACATAGCGTTCAAACTTTGTAACTATTAGAATTGTGTTCGACGTTCTCTCGAGTTAGAAATTCATCGATGATGGACTCGGCAGTAATAGATCTTGCAATTTTTCTTTCAACGAAGATAGTCAAAGAATTACAAGAAAGTCATCTTCTATTTTATTTTGAAGTTTATATTTAACGATAGCCACCACCGAAAATACACGCTCTGCACTAACAGATTATTTAGTGATAGTCGCTACACATAAGAATGATGAATTAATACACATATTATGTAAACCCTAAATCCCTAAGAATGATAAATAAATAAAATTATGAACATGAGCATAAATTAAAGTATTCATAAATATAATAGAATGATCAAATTATTCGGAAGAATCAAAGAATTTAACCGACGATCCTTGTTGTTGCTGCAAAATTGTTCTATTTTTTACATTGCAAGCTTGTCTCTGTTGTGTTGTACGTCTCGGTGCCGCTGTTTTGTGTGTTTCTATCTCTATCTCTAGAGTCTTGAACTGAGTGTATTCCTTTATGTTAATTAGAGTAGTTTTATTAGTTTTATTAATAAATAAATAATATAATACAATAAAAGGTGAAAGTTAAATGGACTTTTTATGGCTAATCTTCTATATATTTCTCTAATGGGCCTTGGCATGTTCTAGTCCACATAATCTCAATCAATATATATTTAGTTAATTGGTTAATGGGGATAATAATAATTAAATATACTTAATCTAATATATTATATAATATATAATATATACTTAAGTAAAAAAAAACCAAAAGTTTGGGGGGACTAGATTATGTTCTAGTCCACATAATCTCAATCAATATATATATACTTAAGTAAAAAAAACCAAAAGTTTGGGGGGACCATGGCTCCCCCTAAGTTATATGTAGGTCCGCCCCTGCTCCTTCTACGGTATTAGACAAGGGACCCTCTGTGCTCATATATCTTCATTTTGGTTTATGAGATTTTGTCCTATTTTGTTGGTCACGAACTCTAGATTAGGTTTATTTCAGGCTAAAAATTTGTAAAAATGGTCCTATATTCTTTCACCTTTTTTTTTTACGGATGATACTCTAATATTTTGCAAAGCAGATGTCAACCAGATCAATTTCTTGCTAGATATGCTCTCTCAGTTTTAGAGCTTCACTGGCCAAACAGTAGAAATCCTCTATTTTCTTTAGTAGAAATACTAATCAATCCACTATTATAATTTATAAAATCTATACTTATATTAAAGGGAGTCCTATTTACCAAATTTAGTAGCTAGAAAAGTCAACAGCATTTATTGCCATTACTATTTTCGTATTATACAGTTTTTATTTAATATTTGTTTTTCTGTTACGATTTTTAAAAACAGATATGGTCAAATTTTCGCATCATTAATTACTTTCCATTAATTATAATTTATTTATTTATTATTTTTTTTGAAAAAACGGACCAACATTAATTGATTTCCTTAAAATGTGGTAGTTGTTGCTTTATTTTTGTAGCACTTCATTATAGAAATTTGTTCAATTACACAATGAATTTTCTATGATATAATTACTTTTTATGGGAACTTTTTTTTTTAACAGAAAAATATTGCATTTCAATAAGATTTTCGATTTTTTAAGACTGATCGTTATCATGCCATGAAATTGAACATTCCAATATACCTTAACAAAATATACACGTGGTGTATACATCAGTTAATAGAAATATAGAATCCTCATATTTTTATATATATGTATTTCTATTACCAAATTTAATTGACAGTTGGTGTGTTATGGGTTTTTTCATAATTGTTACTTGGTTGTTGTGATATTTAGTTTGGTTGATGTTGAAAAAATTCTAATCTATATATATAATAAGAATAATCATTACAATGAAAATTAGAAAAATATTGATATTAGAAGAGATTGAGTTCATGGTTTTTGTTAAATCAAAGTTGTTTAATTAGTATACAAATTTAAATTCTAAAAACATATATGTGTATATTTTGTACATTATTTATACACTATTTAAATTTAAATTTATTTACATATTTTAAATTGATTACTTATATAAATAATACCAACGTGCATTAAATATATTTCATTACACAAAATAAAAAGAACAAGAAGACGTGTAACTTGTATAACTTTATAAATAATAATGACATTATATGGCAACAGAGTTCAATAATTAACTATTATATAATAATAAGAATAAGTAGAATTGTTATTTTCTCTTATATCAAGGAATAAATATATATAACAAAATTAAATTTATATTAGTATAAATGTGTTAGTGAGATTATATATTAATTATTTTATAAGTTAGCCCTAACATGCTCACGTTTAATGTTCTGACTAATAAAACAACGTTGATTAAAAGATGTGAAAAATATATTACAACCCTCTTTTTTTAGACTTAACGGTGATTAAAAGATGTGGAAAATAGATGATAATTCTTTTCAGACTTAAACAAGACTTAACGGTGATTAAAATAGGTGGAAAATAGATAATAACCCTTCTCAGACTTAAACGGACAGAGCCTGTGAAAATAATTCATTTAATATCTCTCTCCCGTGCATCGCACGGGATACGTACTAGTAATATTTAAGCTAAGATAGAAATGTAAGAAATTTAAAGAACACAAAAATAAAGTTGGTCCAATATTGCATTAAGAATATGCTTTTCCACGTTAGATATGTCTAGAAGAACACTTAAAATTATATAGGTTTCTTGAAACTAGTGCGTAGCCTGTGCGATGCACGAGAAAATAATATTAAATAAAAATTATAAATTAAAGATGCATGTAAATAGCATTAAATAATAATAATAAATTAAATATTTTGTATTAAAATGTGATATAATTTACGGTTTATTGTATAATATAAAATTATCATGTACAAAAGAACACAAAACATGTATGTTTAATGTATTAAAAATACCCAAAATAACATATGTAAAGATATCTAAAATTTTCTACATTATTCTTAAAAAATATTAAATCACCTAAACTTCCCGCTAAACTATTTTGTAAAGACAATATATCTAAAAGCACCTAAAGATATAAACTTTAATGTATAGAATGGGCAAAATAAATAAATAAATAAATAAATCTAAAAAGTATCTAAAATACTATATGTGTGAGTAT